ATGCAGGGGGTCGGACTCGATGATCTATTGAGGTCCCTTCTGACCCTAACATCTATGAATCTATGAATCTATGAAAGTGCTGGACACATTCACACCTGTGCTCACACATAAAGCTGGCCCCCTCACCTAACCTACACAAAAAATTCCCCCCCCGCCCCCCCCAAACACAACTGCTTAAGCATAAAGAGCATAGACACAACTTAGTGACTGCATTTTGGAAACAATTCCTTTTCATTATTGCCATGGTATTTTCTAAGTATCACATAGTCAATCAGTACAACAGACACAACATTCCCGTCAGTACTGTTTTCAGAACCAGTACTTCTAGAAATAACTTAAGAATATGATGGCAATCTCTATATGAAAATGTTAACTATACAGGGATATGTCTATTTGCTGCCCCTCATTGACTTCTAAACATTTTATTGAAATGATTTCTCCATTCTATTTGTTAGTACAGATACAAGTACTTTGAACAAGTATTCATCGTGGAGCGCTCTCCTTTATGTATTATCTTTTCAGCTTTCCTGTACTGAAAATACATAAAATGTGATACATCTAACTCACTAACAGGTTGTTTATCCTGTTTTATATTTTGGTCACATTTTACATCTATGCTCTTAATTGGTTTAGTTCTTTTTAAAAAAATATTCAAAACACTGCATGCCAAGCTCACATACTATTACACCTACAACAAACTGGCATATGCCTAACTCAGGACAGATTCTTTACTGACATAGCAATTCATTTTTACCATGGTATTGGATTAGGCAGGTGTCCTAAGAGTCCTCATTTAATATGCTTAGTGAATGTTTCTCATAATTACTCTTGCTGAGTTTTAAAATATCTGTTTTTCTACCTCCATCTCTAGCCCTTTCTTCCTTTTGGCTAAATGTGAAGACTTTTTAGTTGATTTCAGCATAACAACACAAGCAGAAGGAAATTACAAAAGGAGAATAAAAATAGGATTGGTGCTTCATAGCTTCTATCACTTGTATGGGTTGAAAAAAAAATCTCCTTAACTGTCATCTTTAGTGCTAACGAATACAGAAAAGAAATACGGCTGCATAAAGAAGAGCAGAAGTTACTAATTAAAATAAAAAGTAATTTAAATAAAAATGTGGATCTCGGTACCTCAGTCGTCCTATTCACCATCATCTGATGCAGCATCATTTGGAAAAAAGAGGAAAGATATTACAGATTGACTGGGAAATAGCAAACCAAGTTGCTTGTTGAAATGAGTTATGTTGTTATTACGGGAAAAGCCATTCAAGCATGCATTAACATCACATACAACTCATGTTCCCATGGGCCCCAAGCCATATCTTATTTAACATGGAGAACTCAGTCATTCTGCTTCCACTCTTGTTTCTTCTTGTCCATAAATAATGAAGGAAAGCAGATTTCCAAACGGACAAGATGAGTCAAAAATATATAACCAAGCGCAGCAAAGCAGATGTTTTCCAGGGTGATTCTGAATTTGGCAATGTCTTTTTTACCACAAAAGAAGCTACTTCGGCTTCTTATTTTAAAACGGGTGCCCCGTCCCCAGAAATGTTCAGTCTCATGATTACCCTGGCCACCTCCAGGACGAAGTTTTTTACCTTGGACTGGACATCAGCATTGTGGTCATTCTGCAGAAGGAGAGCTGCTGACTTGGTATCATCTTTTCTGGCAGCAATATGTAAAGCTGGCAGCCTCACTTTCCCCTTGGTGTCATTTTCCAGAAGAATGGCCACTGCCTGATTGTGTCCCTGCTGCAGTGCAACAGCTAGTGGAGTGAAGCCGTCCTGATAAGAGTGGAAAACAAAATATAATCCATAAAATGAATGGTGCACAACATCAGTCACACAGCACTGTTCACACACAGAAATGGGTGAAATGTAGCTTCCCAGTCACTCTCAACCTTTGGCTCATGACTTCCAATTAATTGTCCAGCATAGAAGGCACAAAAAATATCTCAGTTTTGCCTTAAAGCATCCACAAAGTGCATTTTACTGGGAACAGTTAGGCTGATACCCTGTGTATCTGGAAATCTCACTCTTACAAAACACCAAGGCTAAGTATGCTCTGCAGGTGGTGATTTGACCAAAGCATCAACTGACACAGTTAATCGAAAAAAAGACACAACATCATGGACTTCAGCCACCCGAAGTAAGTATCCAAAACCTTAGGGGGCTTGCGCAATCAACACTGAAGCCCATATCACCATGTTGTCACAGCTTCGTTATTCAAACTAGTTGGATTACAAGTAACCTGAGCATGTGTACTTGTGTACAACCACACCCCAAACCTCAGTTTAGGCACGTAGCTTAAAAGAAAACATAGACCTTGAATTGGGTCAGGAATGGATGAGGGGATAAGATGTATTGTAGGTGAGTATGAAATGGAGAGAGAAGCACTGGGAGAGGGAATTATCATGTTGAAGTCAGTAGGATAAATTTGACTGATGTCCATCATCAAAGGAGGAAAGGGAGCAGATTGAGGGAGTTGGGACAGAGTAATAAGGTCAGAAGAAGAAGAATTTGATTGGGTTTGAAAGAGAAAGGGAAAGATATGAAAGGGAGAAAGAGAAATCTGAGCAGCTGTAAAAACTTGAAATCATCTAGATAAACATTCAGACTTTCAAGTTATTTCCCAGATTTACTACACCAGGTTCATCCCTTAGTAATCTAATACCTTTTTACTACTTTTTGCATAGAATTCTGACTTGATGTTGTAAATGTATCCTGTTATAGCTACTTACTCGCAAGAGATTAATCTATCTGCTGTAAATTAAAGTGGATGAACAGCTGAAGGAACAGCTGAATTGTAATTCTAAGGCTAGGGTAGATTAGGTAGAGAGATGGCTTAGTGCACTGACCTTTCACCTCCGGGAACATGAGAGTAAATCCTGGATTAGTAGGACAAATGTGAAACTGAGTTAGGTGGTCTCATCCTCATTCCCATTTATTCACATCATAAAAGCACCACAGAATTCAATATTACTGGCTGCATCTACATAAGGAAGGTGTTCAACCTCAGAAGTTGAACACATACCCTTTTTCCCATAAGCTTCCTGTCCAGGGGGTCCCCATTCAACACTACTGTACTATTTTTTGAGACAGAGTACTGCTGTGTTCTAGTCCAAGGGCATCAAACTTATGGAGTCCCACAGGTTGGATGACAGTAGCTGAGCCAGTCTGTGGGCCACATTGGAACTGAGCCCTTCTTCCATGTGGAGGGCCTGTGATGCTGGGTCTGGTAAGCAGCATGTGTTATCCCTGGCCCTGCCCTGGGGCTTGCACTCCATACAGAACATAGATTGGATCTGGCACTGCATGCAGCACAGAGGGTCCAGGGCATGGGCTGCATGTGCTGTCCCACCAGATTGGCCCTGCATGCAGGCTATGGGGCTGATTGAGATTAGGCCATGGGGCTATACCAGAGTCAGTGGAGCCTAGTTTGATAGGATATTGTATGCAGTGCATGCCCTGTGCTGGTCCCCTGTGCTATGTGCAGCACACAGGACACTGAGTCTAGTCCACACAACATATTCAGTGTGGAGGGCCAGGGATGGTGTGTGCCCTATGTGGCATGTGCTGTCAGTCCAGAGGGCTATAGGCCAGATCCTACAGATCCAGCTATGTGCCATGTGCTTGACACCCCTGCTATAGCCAATGTCAGTTTCTGTCTGACATGGATGTCATTTCAGTGGCACCTCCAGTTCAGGCTGTCATGCCTATTTTGTTTAATATATGGTGTAGTAGTGCTGGAGTTTTGGTCCAAGAAATATATGAAAAGCAAGGGTTTACCCCTCCCCCCAGTATCTTTTATTGGGCCAACTGTATACTTGGGAGACATGTTAGATAAACTTTTGGGCACAAAGTGTCCTTCCTTGCCAAGTCTGGAGGGCACTTTGTGCTTGCAAAATTGGACAATACACTTGGTCTAATAAAACATATTATCAAAAATAATCTTGCTTCTTTCTTAACATAGTTATTTACCCTCTAAAAAACAGCAGGATCACCTCTACCTATGGGGCAGGAAGCAGCTGAGGCCATTTCCTGACACTACCCATGTGCATGGAAACTATTAATCTTAAAAGCCCTAGTAGAGTTGAAGAGTCAAGGGGCACGTCTACATGTGCATTTATGTGCTGTAGTTACTTCACATTAAGTTTAGTACCTGTAATAACAGGTACTAACTCAATGCACAGTACAGTGGCACCGGCCCATGCCCTTTAAGTGCTGCTAATGTGCAGCAGACTAATTCTACTGTGCATTAGCATAATAGCATGGCTTTTGCTGTGACACTTCAATGAGCATTAGAATTAGTTTACAGTGCATTTAACGTCTCATATAGTCATGCGCAGGGAGCTGAAACACATATGAATCTCAGGGATGTTTGGATGCTTGAGATTAGACTACAACCAGATCGGCTGAATCTGTGATGGCCTCCAGATTCCTTTTGCTGATAGATACATTTCTATCAATCCCAAGCACAGAACTAAGGTACAAAGTACTTCTGTGACAAAACCAGAGCAGGTGGATAAGGATTGTAAGTGGGCTTAGATCGTTGAGTTCCAAGGTTCTGTTGGGATTGATTTGCAAACTGTGTGTTTCTGCCAAGTTGCCTGGCAATCACACAAGATTTTATATCTTCAAAAAGCTCTAACAGTAATACGATCTCAACCAATGCAAGGCACAGAAAGGATTATTTAAAGCCATCATCAAATGTTACAGTATCCACTGAATGAAGAGCAAGTAATGCAGCTGTTAGCCTCAGCTAGTCCAGCTTTAAAGCAAGAAAAGCCTGCACAAATGCATCACCATTTCAAATCTGCTCATTGGCCAAAGTAACCCACAGTGGGAGAGTTTCCACACTGGTTGGAAGAAAGGTAACAAATGCAAGGAAAGGTACAAATGGATGAGAAAAAAAATTAAAATGATGAGAGAGGGGGCAAGTTTCCTATCACTATGCCACATGATACAAACGTTATATGCGGAAAGAACAATAATAAAGTTGACAGGATTTATAAAACAACAGCTGTTCACTTCCATTTCTTCAGATAGTAGGAAAGCAATTTTGACAGTAAGAGAACAATGGGAAACAGTGAGTACAAGATTTGTTAAAGATGATTTCCCTTCGTCACTTCCCATTTCTCTCATTTACTGAGCTTTGGGAGAGAAATTAAAGCCCTCCCAGTCTCTACTATCCTTTTATGGGTAGATTCTCTTATCTGTTGCACTGCAATTTGCAGCAACTGTGGAGTTTACTCTAGATTCCCATAACTGTAACAGGGCACAGGGCTCTAATTTTGGTGTGCTCATATATATGTAATCTATTGGCTGAAAATAGATTATCAGAAGAAGCAGCAGCATGCTCTGTAGTGTTATTCCCATTAAAGCATTCTCTTATATATTTGGTTTCCCAGTTAACTCTAGAGACATTTAATATTCCAACACTTGACAAGAGACATACAGAGCTGCCCTCAGGTCCCAAACTTCAGGGGCCTCCTGAGGCCCACTCTCCACTGTTTTTCAGTCACAGGAGAGAACTTGGCCCACAGTATTTGCTTTTCTATATTAGTTTGTTTCCCTTGGTCCTATTTTGCGTGAAACCATGAAAAATTCTGTATAGGCTGAACTTGGGAGATTTAAAAGAAACACACAAAGACTGGTTCTGAAAGGTAAGATGCGACAGCTGAGTTGCGATGCTATCCTTTGTCAACATGACTTACTGTACCTTACATTATAAGGATACATTTTAAGACGTGTTCCAGACAAAATGGTTTACATTTGCTTCAAAGAAATGACTGAATGAAAAGCCCAGCTCATTCAATTCTATGGACTGTTTCCCTATATAGGATAATGGGAAGAAAATGATAGCTTCCCTTGTGGAAAGGGCAGGTAAAGCAGTATGGCTAATTGTGCTGGTGAAGAAAGTAGTAATGATTTCATTCCTAAAGGCTCTCATGGGATTTGCTGGAGACAAAGATGCTCACAAGAAAACCTACCTCTGCACTCTGTGGCAGCGTCCAGATAAGCACAGCTGTGCAGTATATGACATGTCTGTGGCACCACAGACTGCACGTTCCTGCGGTGTTCCCCGCACTGCGAGGTAGCAGCATGGGAGAAGAGGGGTGGTTTGACCCTAAAAAATCCCAAGGTCAAAAAAATCGTGCGCAAAAAAAAACAGGGCGGCCCACGCAGAGGTAGAGCACACTACTCAAAACCGGAGCCTAGCTGGCTGGAGCCACGCTCCAGCTACCATCCAGGATTGCTGCAGCTGCAGCCCCAGAATGCCCCCAGGACCGAAGCAAGGCCAACACAGTTGTTGTTTCCCGCCTCCCCTACCCCACCTGTAGTATCCTGCCACGCGCCAGAGGCATTCCCCAGGGACAAGTAGCAGCAGCACAAGATGTGCAACTGCATCTTGTCCCTGGGGAGACGAACATCCATGCACATACAGACACAGCCTGTGGGTGCATCCCCACATCCAGGGGCGTGCAAATTTGTGCTGTTGCTTTTTGCCACTGTGCATGCTCCTGCATGTTGGGTTTTCTGTGGGGCAAAATGCCCTACTTTGGGGAAACGGACTCCTCCCAGCATGCTGGAGGAGCCAGGGCTCACTTAAAACAGTGGAGATGCTCTGATCCAGCCTCCAGCTGCTGTGGCACGTGCTCCTGGAGCATGCACTACATCGCTTTTTTTGCGGCAGTTTTTTTTTTTTTTTTTATAGTGGGAGTTCCTGGTATCAAATTTTGGTGCCGGGCTGCAGCATGGCAAATAGTTGCACATGCACTGCCTGTGGTTTGCAGCATCTCAAATGGTTTTGAGGTGCTGCAAACCACTCGTGTACACTCATCTGGATGCACCTTGTATGTCCATGCTAAGACCATAGCAGCACACTGGCAGTACAGCCCCAACAAAGCCAAGCTGTCATGGCTTCCTCTGCCTGATACAGCTGTAAGAATATACCCAACAAGGGTTCACTAATTTTTATTCAAATTCCTCGGGGCTTGATGAGGGAACAGTACATATACCACATCCCTCATACATAGATTCTAGACTCCTTGTGGCTCCAGGAATACGGAGGAAGGAATCGTACAACTGAGCTTCTCCTTCCTCATCACACATACCCACACAGGGAAAAGCAATGTCTTCACACACACTTCCACACATAATCTGGTTAGTCTTCAAAAGATTACGTTTGACAGTCATACTCGCTTGCTACCAGTCACATCTTGAAAGCAAGGGTAAATAAAAGACGATCTGTAAAAAGGCATGCATATTGTACCTCAGTAGCGGTGCTCTGGTTGGCTCCATTTTCTAGCAGATATTTCACTACTTCAATGTGATTCTCTTGAGCTGCCATGTATAAAGGAGTGAAACCATTCTAGGAAAAAAAAACCAATAGAATATTAAGTAATGAAGTCTTTATTGATACATTAATAGTAATGAATAACAAATAAACACACAAAAAATACAAATACCATTTAAGAGCATGTTAAAGAAACCATATATCAAGTGAAATTTAGCAAAATTGCCATATTTCCTGAGCACGGCACTCTTTTGTACTGAGCATTAGTACTGATACAGGGAAACAACTTTGTGTTTTCTGTGTTAATATGCTAGAATAATCTGTTCTTGTTCCACGTTCTGTCTCACAAAGCTAAATCATGAGGATCACAAAAAACAGATTCTAAAAAATATTTTTAACACATCAAAGCATCTGCTGTTTTGCAATGATCTATAAACTACCTAGGCTTTCACTCTTAGTATTCTTTTACATAATTTTAGGATAATTCAGTATACACTGGAAATGTTCATTAATGACTGATAGATATAAAACTGGCAGTAAAATTTTATGAACACTGAAATGGAAGCAAGCTTTTTCTTAATTACTTTTATTTAATCAAAGGCAGTGAAAATAAAGTCAAATAAAGAAGTTTAGTAGAGATGGCAAAGCTTTAAAATAATACAAAAAAATTACCAGCCATTAAAACAGTGAAAACCATCAATCCTAAAACAACAAGACATTGCAGAGTTATGACTACCTTTCTGAGACCACAGTAATATGGTATATGACTTAAGTATATACCTGTATATCTATATGATTGAAGTATAAACACACCTAGAAATGCAATAAGGTTCTTAAACAAAACTGTTCCAGATATTATCATTTCTTTCCAGGACATAACATGTATATAGATATAGATATGAGTTTAATTATATTGTGCACATGGAGCGTGTGTGCATGCGTGTGTCTACTTTGAAATACCTTGTTTTAAATAAAAATACATTGCATGTTCATTCATCAATATCCATGAGTGAAAGGCACAAAAATGAGCCTATTTGCATGATTAATGAGGCTTCATATTATTGTTTCAGGATCATTAAATAGGCCCAACATTCTTGTGTCAAGCTCTGTAAATAACACTGTAATTTAAGAGAACTTAATCATCTCTCATGAAACTTCCTGTCACCACTCCATGCCACCTCTAGCAGAATATGAACCATAAATCAGATTTCAGCCATAAGGTGCTTTTTTTCCCCTCCCTCAATATGTTTTACAGTTTAAGAGGGTGGGCTTGTATGTGCTTGCAAACATATTATTCCTTTGAATAAACTTGTCATGGAAACATTCAACACATTCTCAAAAGAGAACCCTATCACACAGGCAACAGATAATACACTTGACTGTAGAACTCATGGTTCCAGTTCTCCATATGTATCTGCACAGCTATATTAATATAACTGATAAAAAATGTCCACATAGACAAAGGCAAAGGAACTCGGGATGGTATGATTCCTTGGAAACCTGATAAGGTTTAAAGTTAAGAGGGTTCAAGTGTTGTTGTAGGCATAATGGTCTAGGACAGGGATTGTGAACTGGGGGTACACGTACCCCTGGAGGTACTTGGAAAGGCCCTAGGAGGTACACGCAGGCAGGCAGGGGGGGATGGAGCACCACCACGCACCACCCCATGCTGCCACCTCCCAGAAACAGTGCTGGGGCAGGGCAAGAGCAGCAGTGCCCCTCTGAAGGCCACACAGGCACTGACCAGCAGGCCAGATGTGGGGGTGGGGAAGCTCGCATGCGGTGCTTGCCACTACCTCCCTGAGCTCTGCTTCCGGTCGCTGGAGGGTACACTTACTATAAAAGGTTGAAAACCCCTGGTCTAGGAAATATGTGAATATCTTTTACTGGACCAAATGTATAGCTGGGAGAGATGTTAGACAAATTTTCAGGCTCAAAACGCAGACTTGGAGAAAGGCACTTTGTTCCTGAAAGCTAGTCTACTACATCTCTCCCAACCATATATCTCTCTTCCCCAACTCTCTGTCCAATAAAAGATATCACCAAAAAATCTTGCTTATCTTTAGAGTTAAGAGCCAACAACTATAAAGTAGGGCCCCCTGGATTTTATTTCTAGTCTTGCCATTGACTCAGAAGACTCACTGGGCACGTCTACATGAGATGCAGTAAACTGGACTACTCCGTATTCAGGACAGGCATCCTATACTGCGAAACCTGCAGCTGCAGGGGGCCCCACAGCTAAGGGGCCCCCTGTACACAGGCAGCGGAAGTGGGGGGCTAACAGGGCTCAGCCCCCAAAATACAGGGTAGCAGCAGGTATTGCCTTAGGGCAGCCCAACCACAGGGTCCTACAGCAGAGGTGGGCACACTGAGCTACCCTGCACACTTGCAGCCAGGATCACAGCCAGCCTAGCTGCAGGCAGGTTTCTTTTAATCTGGTTTTTTTTTTTTTTATTTCCATGGGCTTGGAGAGAGGGCAGATTGAGACCCCCACAGTGCAAGAGAGAGTGGTGTTTGGGAAAGGTAAATCATTCACCCCTGTCCCTGGCCCACTCCCTCCTACACTGTGGGGACTGTCCCATGAACTGGCCTGGCCCCCATTCACCATGACTGAGGTCCTGGCCTGGCTGGGTCATGGGACAATCACAGCCCGGCCACTTCGAAAGCAGCAGGTGCCACCATGTGCATCCCACCACTTGGCAGGCTGGGCAGCAAGGCACATGGCAGCATCTGCCACTTTTGAAGCGGTGGCAGTGAGGCACAGAGACATGGAGCAGAGACTGAGCCCAGCTCACAGCTGCGGCCTGCCCTCGCTTATGGAAAGATCAGGGGGTCACATGCCCCTTCCCCCCTTGGCTGCCTGGCACCATGCCTCTGGAGGAGCTGCTGGGCTCTTCCTGGGGACGATGTGAGGTGGGGCAGGGCAGGGCAGGCACAGGGTTCCTGGGGGCTCCATCCCCTCCAGCCCGGCAGTGCAGCTGAAGCTGGCCCTGCTCCAGGCCATTTCTGGCCCCCCCAGCCCCCCCGGCCAGTGCATGGCCCGGGCCAGTGCAGCCAGGAGGCAGCTGGGGCAGGTGCCAGGGCCAGGAGGTGGAAGAGGCTGGCGCAACCAGTGCCAGTGTAGCCAGGAGGCAGCCGGGGCCGGGACTGGCACGGCCAGAGCTGGGAGGAAGCTGGGGCTGGGGTCGGTGTGGCCGGAGCCAAGAGGCAGCTGTGGCTGGTGTGCAGCCTGCCCCACCAGCAGACAGCTCCTGGGAGCAGGGAGCAATCTTCCAGACCATGCTCTGATCATGGAACTAAGGCTCAGAGCTGCCTACACAGGGAGAGTTCCCCAGCCCTGGGTTAAGTGGGGAAGTGTGCACATGCAGCTCAGAGCTGGCTGGGAATCACTCCATTTCAGAACAGGTTTCCGCCGGCTCTGGGCTGCATATGCAGACTTCCATGCACAGTCCAGGGCTGTCCGGGAACTGTCCTGGTCTGAGCCAAGTCCCAGCCCCACAGCTCTTTCTCAGCCCCATGCCCCGATCAGGTGATTGAGGAACAGGGCTTGGAAAGAGCTGTTGTAGGGTGAGGGGGCAGGTCCCAGCCTGCTGCCCTGATCCACTGGTCCCAGCCCCCTTGACCCCATCTGTCCAGCCAGGGGCTCACTGCTAGCTACCCCACTGGTGGGACAGCTTCTGGCTGCCCCCAGGTAAGCAGGAATTCCTACCCAGGTGGGAGCTCACTACTAGCTGCCACACCAACAGATCAGGGCAGGGACCTCCCTCTCCCTCACAGCTCTTACCCAGCCTTGTGCCCTGATTGGGTGAAAAGGGCATAGGCTAGGAAGAGTTCTCTCCCCTGCAGCTCTTTCCCAGCCCCATGCCCTAATTGCCCAATTGAGGCATGGGGCTGGGAAACAGCTGCAGGGGAGGGGTACACCCCGGTGCTGGCTGAGACCTGCTCCAGATGGGCTTGTCCCCATGTACATGGGGTGAGAGAGCTCTGCAGCAGCAGATCTCCTGCCCTATGCACATCACGACCCCACCCGATGTGTTTAGGGCCAGAAGACAGTAGTCTCCTGGCTCTGTGCTCCCTACCAGCCTCTGGGCTAGGACCCAGGGGGAGCCTAGAGCTCCCCCTGGCTGCTACAGGAGGACAGAGTAGGATGGGAGCAAATCTGCTCCCAAGAGGTAGCACATGTAGATGTATTTCCCAGTAGGCTTACTGTGCAGTATTTTTAATGCGCAGTAAGCCTACTTTGAATTAATTACACGTGTAGACATGCCCAGTGTGTGTGTGTGTGTGTGTGTGTGTGTGTGTGTGTGTGTGTGTGTGTGTGTGTGTCCAGGTGCATGCATGTTTGTTTGTCCCTCCTTATAATGAATACAGGCAGTCCTTGGACTTGCAACCCAATCGGTTCCTGAAAACGGCATCTTAAGTCGAAACGTTGGAACTCGGAACTAATTTTCCCATAGGAAACAATGTTATAAATGGGGGATTCGTTCCTGAACCAGGCCCGATACCCTGTTTTCACCAAAAAAACCCCACTATTTTGTATTTGATCAATTATAGATGAGTAATATAGCTACATTAATGTATTTAAAGTGTAAATAGCAATTATATTGATTTGGAAGGATGTCTTTGAGATGACTTTGCTAGACTTTTCAAAGAGCTCTTGGTTGGACTTTTTGAAGGGGTCTTGGCTGGATTCTTCTCAGGAGTCCTGGCTGCAGGTTTTTCTGGAGTCTTGTCTGCTTTCTTAAAGAAAGTGTCCAAGGAAGTTTGGACAGATGTTCTCCAGGCAGATGGGTGACACAGTGACTTGTTCACTGTCATGGCGTCACATCAGATCAAGTGCTGTAAAGTCAAAACTGATGTCAGAAAGTTGAAACTGGGTGTCAATTGTAAGTGTGAAATGTTGTAAATCGAGGACTGCCTGTATATTATTTACCTCCTTCACACATGGGTCGTAAAACTAAATTAATGTTTGCATAAAATGTTTGAATAAAAAACAAAACAGAGCAACAGAAGCACAAATTTATTACCGACGACAACACTGGTGCTCAAACAAATGTAAAAAAAACTTGAAATGT